ACATCCATTACACTTGTTTCAGAGAAAGAAAAACAAGTGTTATTTATAATATATTTCTTTGATCATAAAACACAAATCTGGACATGATGGGATCTATGTTAGGTAAATTTTCTGAAATTTTATTAAGGTAGGTCAAGGTTATTTGTCTGCTAAGGTAAAATATGAAAACCTTTCCCAGTGGTACTGGCCTCACTTGGCTCCTGGAGACCATATTAGCAGAAGAATTTGGATATCACAGGTATAAAAAGGTAAGGCAATCTTAGCTTTTCTTAGACAATCTTTGTTTAACTATCTCTATCTCAAACTTCACACATTTCAGAAATGTCACAATGTTTACATTGTGTTGCTTACTAATGTTTTTTTAATTAAAATTATGCACACACGTGCGCGTGTGCACACACACACACAAAGATTTGTGCCACTAATATTGGAGACAGGAATTCTTGACTAAGTGTGGGTAGAAAAGAAATAAGCAGAATGAGTAGGGATGTACAGGTAAAAGCTTTAATCTTTTAATAATGGTCTACTTTATGCTTTGAATATAGCCATTGTTGCTTTGGACTGCAATTTATTTTTAAAATGGACACATTTTCTTTGTTTTCCTTACTTCCTGCTCCTACCTATTCTCTTCCCCACCCTAATCTCAAGAGAAACAGGATTAATTACCTTTCTTCCCCATCCTAAGCAGAGTTATCTGTACTTGAGTACACATCCACCATAGGAACAAAGTAATCCAGACTTTGGGGATGGCACTAGAAGATCTCAGAAATGACTATGTCCCAAATTAAAAGTGAATTACAACTCTGGACAGACAACATGTGGAATGTAGCCTTTAAATCAACTCAATAAAAGCCCCTTGTTTCTTCTGATGGGCAGAATCACAGCCTTTGGGACAAGAGTCTCCTGTGTTTCTCCTTTGCTAGCAAAGCAATAAATGTCTTTTTCTCTTTTCTCGAAACCATGTCCTCAGTATTGGATTGACATCATGGACAAGAACCAAGCTTTTAGCAACAACCAAGTAAAAATAGAAAAAAAGGGCTTAAACCTGAGGAGATGGGGAACAACTCAAATTGAGAAAGAAATCAGTGTTGCCCCTGTTAGGGAACAGAGATATGAGGATGGTGGGAATAGAGGCTAAGAGAATAATTCTATAAAATGGGCCCACTGTGATGACCCCCCTCATGCTTTATTTTCCAATAAGCAGTTTACCTGCTAATGTCAATGAAAACTACCCAGGAGATCCTTGTGATCAGATCCTGAAATTCAGGGAGATAATGATAATTCCTCCTCACAATAAAATCTGTAACAATGTATGATTAAGAATCCAATTAGAAACTGTTAATGTAATCCAAGGTGACCTAGAGTTGCCATGGCAGTTTAAAGTCTGATATCATCCTGCTGTCAGTCAAAAGTCAAAGTTGGACCTAGGCAGGACTCTCTGGAAGGTTCCCTGGGACCTCCAATAAAACTGGAGTGAAGGAGATGCACAAGGTCCCTCTCCTCTCTGACAGGATCTACTCTATCCCTTGAGACTGTCCCTGTTTCTTTTTTTTTAATCCCTTCAATAAACTCATTCCTATTACTCTGAGTGTCTTGTCTGAAATCTTTCTGAGTTCATCACAAAAAATGGGGTTTGAAATGGGGAGTCTTTGTGTTGCTTCAGTTCTCTGAAGGCTGTAGTCCTGTGAAACCATGACCACTCTAGGTCATTATGGCCCATGCTAACCAGTTCTAATTGGAATCTCTTGTTACAGATTTTTATAGTTAGAAGGAATTATTACTATCTTCTTGAGTCCTGGGATCTGATCTGTGAAAGGGTCACAAAGGTTCTCCCTTCAGGATGGTTTGTGTTCCTCATCAGAATTATTTCAGGCCTGCATTTCTCCTGCAGGTAACAGGCAGTTTGCTGAGAAATATAACATATCCTATCCACTTAACTCAGGCAGGGCTCCAGGTAAATTGCTTTTTAAAGATTAAAGCACATGGGGGTCAGCACAGTGGGCCCAATTTATACAATTATTCCCGCCACTTGCATCTGTCTGACCCCTCTAACAAGGACATTTCCATAGCTGAGCAAGATGCCTAATATTGATACTGAAAGTTCAGTCCTTTTTCCCTGATGTCAACTCAATAATGAGGTCAAGGTTTTGAAAAAAAAGAAAAAAAGAAGTTTTTATTGTTTTGCTTAGAAAAGGAGAAACAGGGGATTCCTGTTCCAAATGCTGCAATTCTAACTATTAAGGGGAATAGAGAGCTATTTAAAAGGTAATTCAAAGACTAAACTCCAGTTGGGCCTTGTCAGGAGTCCTAATTTATTTGTAGCTGTGAAAGATAGCCCTTTTTTAGATCTGCAGATGCCAACTATGCAGTCTAATTTTCTTCATTCCTGTGGTCTGTGAGTTGAGGGGCAGATAACTTGACCTAGGATGAGAGGAAAGTTAATCTTGCTTCCCTATGATTAGGGAAGGGGAGAAGGAGAAGAAGGCAAAAATCATGTCAGTTTTAAGGTAAACTACAGTGACAGAACAGCAAGGGTTATGTTCAAAGCACCAATATTAGGTATTTTCTCCTGTGGACTGTGCATAGTCTTTCTACTTGTCTTGTGTTTAAACAGTGATTCATTAACTTCAGACACTTAGTAATACCAGTCTCCCATTCAGATACTTAGTAATGCCTATGCAAAAACAGTGATGGACACTGAGATTTCCTGGCTTAAATGCTTACATTTCAAATTTTGATTGTGTGTGGAGTAATGGGAGAAATTGAAAGAACAATCAATAAAACTAATTTTATACCAAATAGCCAGCCCTATTGTTATTTTCTAAATCTCAACCCCATTCCATTCCTACAGCCAGTGGTCAAGACAGGAAAAAAATGACTGGAGAGGATGAGGAGACCAAAGGGTCAGGGAATTAAAACATTCAGTGAACTCACCAGCCAGATAAACAAATTGCTTGTATTTATGTTGGTTTGAATGGAACTAGGGAGATGAAACCCATCTCTTTCAAAAATGTAGGCTATTGTTCTCCTTTAAATTGTTTTGACAAAATGATCAGCTGTAATTCTGTGAAATAAATATCTTTTCAAAGTTAAAATTTAAAATATTATAAGGTCCTTGCTTAGCATCTGGGTGGCCATCTTAAGTGACAGCCGCCATTTTCCCACCCAAGGAAATTTCCGGAAAAGGCTCACCACTCCCTCATACCAATCTAACCCTTTACCACCTGCATTCTTTCCCACCCTAGTGTATACCAACCCCGCCGTTAATTGCCCACATTAGGACCTCTCTGAGCCTGGCCCATAAAAGTCTTTGTGACAAAAAACTCTTCTGTGTATTTCTGCCTGGTCTTTGTCTTTCAATTCTCACTTGCCTGTCTCCTGGTTCCTTGCTTTCCTTTCAAATATATGTTAGTATCTGAAAAACAATATATCTTAACATGCATGTGGCCATAAGATAGAGTCAACAAAATCAATCCCTACAAACAATTTTTATATTAATTACAAATGAAACTCAAAGTATTTTAACTTTATTACCTGCGTGGGCTCTCTCTCTCATCCAGCGAGGAAGTCCGCAGAAAAGGGTAGAGGAAAGTGTGGCTGCAAAGTTGCTACTCAAGACGTCCGGAGACCAAGGAGGAAACAGGTCTGATTTTATCGAACAGTTACCATGTATATATACTCAGGCAGTAGCTAAGCAGATTACAGGCAGCCACCAATGCAAGTTCTGCTAAGTGACCTTGCAGTGACCAATCGAGGAGTGGGCCATGGAGCAAGTACAGGAACTGCAACACATGCCCTCATGCCCAGGGCTGTGCCTAAATGATCTGCCGCTTACATGTCTAGCATGAGGGGAGTGGCCTACCTCTCAGATGCCCTTAAGGTATGCCATGTATGCAGTACTCCATGCATTTGTCCCCACAATCACCCATGGCAAAAATTGACTCCTTTCACTCAGGGGACTGTCCCATAAAGTAGGGGAACAGGGAGAGTTCAGGTTGATTGTGGACTACTCTGCCCCTCTATATGTCAGTGTGTTGAACCCATGACACACAAAAAAGGCCAACAACTCCAATTTTAAACCAAATTAAAGCAAGCTTATATTGTGTACACAAGAGAGTTGATCAGTGATTTCCTCACCCAAATGCAGGGCCAGAGGACAGTGTCTGGTCTAAGAGCAGGGAAGTTTTTATAACAAAAAGTTACAAAGGTGAGTGTCTTGGGAACTTACAGCTGACAGGTTCTGGCAAGTGAAATACAAGGGCAGATAGCAGGTAATGATCTACATGGCTTAACATCTCAAGGTAGGGAGCAAACTCAGAGAATTAATGAGGAGCACCTGGGATTTCAGGGAGGGTTGTTATTTGGTCAGGGAGAACTGGGCACAGGTAAGTCCAAAGCATGGGCAGGAATCCAAAGTAAGTTTTTAAAACATCAAAGTATGGTCAGGCCAAATAAAAATCTTAATATTTTACAGTAAAACATAAATGAACTTTTCATGATGAGATGGCTCCCAATCTTAAAATGAAATTAGGCTGGGTTTATCAAGTGCCCTTCACTTCTTAGAGGACAACTTCCAGCATAATGGTGAATCTGAAGGACAGTCTCCTGCATGTAAAACTTTTACTACAAATAGTATTTATTTTTACCTGTGATGGGAGAAAAAAGAAAAGAAGGTTATATGTACAGTTGCTGCAACAGTAGGAATGATTCTCCAAGAATTTAGGCAGGTGTTGTTGACTTTTGCTGGTTTACTTCAGAGGTTTGACTTAAAGAATATAAGCAGAAAGAAAACACACACAATTGTCCTTCTTATGCCAGTTCAATTCATCGTTGCTTTCCAGACTCCCTCTCTAATTCATCTTCACTTTCTCCTACTGTCATGGGAGAAGAGATGTCTCCAAAAAGGGATTAAAGTATTCCCTGAAAGAAGGGGGAACTTGACTCAGAACCAGAGGGATTCTTGACAGAATGTGACAGAGATGAATTTCAACATGCACCAGTCAGAAACTGAGAAAGATGTTTATTAACACATTCAAGGGGAAAATAGGGGGAGGGGTGATCTCAAGAGAGAGAGAGGCCTTTTGCAGTAAAGTAAGGAGTACACATCCAAGGGAGTACACATTCAACAGCAATTCTTGGAGACTCATTTCTACTGTTTCAGCAACTGTACAATAACTTCCCTTTCTTTTTCTCCCATGCAGGGTAAAATCTCTAGAGGGAGAGACAGCAATCTGTTGGTGTGGTGTGGTTGCTGGGTGTTGGAATAGAGGTGAAACTAGATCAGAGCTGAAGCCAGAATTAAAGACAAGCAGTCAGTGTAGATAGGCAATCTGGGGTCAGATAGAGAAAAGGAGAAAATGGTTTGGGTCTGGGAAGTTGGAAACCACCACCCCTGGGAGATTGAAATGTTAATATCCCCAGAGCCTGGCCTACACTACCCCTCCCAATGGGTTGTTAATGAAGCAACTCCTAAGCTGACAGGTGCTGTTAATGTACCCTGGGCCTCCTTCCTCTCTGGATCACTCCACCTTGGCCCCTCCAATCCACCTATTTCCCATCTTTTGGCCACACCACTGGCATCTCCCAGTCACAAATTCAGGATGGGGGGAAATGAATAAGAAAAGAGAGAATGCAAACGAACAAAGAAAACTTTAAGTGTATAAAAGGGATGGGACTTCCTCATCCCATGGATTCTGCCTTAGGGTCCTCATCTTCCTCCCAGGGGGAAATCTATTTTACTCTCCTTTAAATAAAGCTTCTTACTTTCTATCCAATGCTTGCCTCTGCGTGCTTCTCTGGTATTATACTTCAACATTCAGTCAATCAGAACTCGTCAAGGTAACCAGCAATATCAGAGCTACACAATTTCATGCCAGTGTCCCCTGCACTTGCTTATTGCCCTCAGGTACCTTTTGCAGACAAGGGCATGGGTCAAAGGTGTTGGCCAAGGGCACAGGCTGCTTCATTCAGAAGTTGCAGTTGTCCTGGGTGCTTTCTGCATTTCAGTGGTTCATGAGGGTTTCCGTGGAGACTCAATATCTCTCCCTTTATTCCCAAGTTCCTACTTGATACAACCTGCCCCTCACTGTGTCCTGTTCACCAGAATCTTAATCAATCCTTTGCTGGAAAGTCCCCAGATATAAAAACCATGACCTACATATGTGATATACAGACCATTTCTATAATTCTTTCTCAAGTTCCTCCTTGTCTTGCTACATCTTCCCACCACAAACACTTTTTACTATTTCTTTAATCAAATTCCCATATTTATATATCTTCTCTTATTTTGATGAGAAGGTTATTGAGAAGATGTATAATTCTTGATTGTTACAAACTCTTTTGTCTGAGCCAAAAATACAAATGTGAAGTACTTTATAATATGTTGAGATTAAGAGAAAGCATATAGAATCTGTTAGTTGTGGAGCAGGCTGAACAAATGTTAGCTGCAGGATGGGCTGAACACTCGGCCCCCACCCTCACCCATCTGGTTTCTTATCACTTGTTCGCCTCAAGCCTGAACACTCAACCCCACTCAAGGCTGAACACTGGACCCCCACCTGTCTGGTGCAAGGGAAACCCACATCTAGCCCCTTCCCAGTCTTCCTGAGGGCAGAAGATGATACCCTTAGCAACTACTGTATGATCCAATCACTGTATGCCAACAAGGCAGCTTGCAGACCCAAAGACCCCATTAGATTTTGGCTATAAAAACTCTTTCTTGCTGGGCCTCCCTCTCTTACTCTCTCTCTCTCACACTTTCTCACCCCTCTCCCCTCTTTCTTCTCTCTCCCACCCCTCCTCTCACTTTGCTCTCTCCCTTTCTTCTCTTTTTTCCTTCTCTCTCTCTCTCTCTCTCTCTCTCTCTCTCTCTCTCTCTTTCTCTTCCTTCCCTGTTAATCATAAATCATTGCAATAAAGATCTCTTGGTCACTCCAAGGCTATGGCCAAAACATCTGTGTGAGGTCATGAGCAAGGGCCTTCTTTCACTGAACAGATATTACTTCAACATTTGGGAATAGCTGGCCTATAGGATGTTAGGAGAAATACAACTTCCATCCTCACTCTTAGAAGGCAAGGCTTGAGGTTCATTCAGTATTTAGTAAGTTGTGCTGTTACAGGAGAAGATGTGTCTCTAGAGAAGGGTCTAAGGAGTTTCCAGAGAGAAGGGGAAACTTGACTCAGGACCAGAGGGGTTCTTAGATTATGTATTGATGGAAAAGAATTTTAGTATGTGCCAGTCAGAGGTTTATTTAGGAAAGTAGATATACAAGGTATCTCAAAATGAGAATGTAGGGGAGAGAGAGAGAGAGAGAGAGAGAGAGAGAGGGGGGGGGGAGGGAGGGTACATTCAAGAAACAATATGTGTTTCTTGACATGAACAAGAAATATACATTCAAAAGAGAATGAAGGCCATCTTGAGAATGAGAGACACATTTTTAGGGTTCCTGACTCTTAAAGGAAACTTGGTGAGAGGTGGGTATAAAAAGATTTGTAGAAATGATATCAGTCTGGTGATCTCAAGATGTTTTATGGTAGTCTGGTCAATCTCAGGATCCTTGGGCTGATGTAGTCTTTATTATCTTGTCAACAGAGGTGGAAAGTCCCTCTAAATTACAGGTCTCTCAGAATATCATATTTCTCTTTATTTAATCTATTTGTTGGGGGTGGGTAATTAACAGTGAAAAAGGTAGATTTACATGTTTCCCAGGATTTTTGGAGTAGCAGACCTGGCTGTTTGAAAGATACTGGCTTGGGTAGTGATAGGCCTGGAAATGAATGTGGAACTTCTGAATTAAAATTTATTTTTCTTTCTTTATGTCTCCTTTGTGCCTATTTAATTATTTTTAGAAATTTCTCCTACCTCAGTGCCACCTTTATCTCATCCTCTCAGACTTGAATTTTTAAAGTCTTTTTTTTTTTAATTTATTTTTTAGTTATTGGCGGACACAACATCTTTGTATGTGGTGCTGAGGATCGAACCCGGGCCACACGCATGCCAGGCGAGTGCGCTACCGCTGAGCCACATCCCCAGCCCTTTTTAAAGTCTTATGCAAGAGAATTTTAGCATCATTAGCCACAGTATCAAGGAATTTCAAACGTAAAAAGTAGATTTTTAGAAGTTGGAAGACAGCAGATATGGCACCTCCATTCACTGAACAGCAGCACTCAGCACAGCTCCTCGCCTTTGCTGCTATACTATCATCCTTCACAAGTTGCCAGAAATCCAAGGACTTGATGTATGTCTTGATGCCCTGCATAGAAGTGCCCAACTTTTCAGCAATTTCTTCAATTGACATATCATCAAGACCAAAATGTTTTCGGTAAACCTTCAAGCACTTCTCTTGTTCAGGCAAATCAAAGCCATAGATAATGGGCATGAAGGGGACAAAGGCCAAAGATGCTGACTTCACAGCATCCAACCAGATCTTCTCCTTGAGGAAATCTCTCTTTATTTCAATAGAAGCATCAGAAAAAGTGGGCAACAGAAGTGCAAAGATATGACGCTTGTGAGCAGGGAGATCCTTCAGCAGAGTCTCCTGTAGTCTTGGGAAATCAAAATTATCCAAGTTAAAATTAGAGACTAGGAAGATGCATGGCTCAGGTACTCCAATGGAACTGAGATTAGCCAGACAGTTGTCTCGAATCTGCTGAAGGACTCTCTCCCTTTTGAAGGACTTCGGTTTGGTTACCTCTTCATTATATAAATCACTGTCCACTTTGGTTCTAACAAAGTAAAACTTCTTCCCCTCCTCTTTGATTTTCTGAGCCAGGAGAGCATCATTGAAGCTGAACCGGGAGGAAGAAATGATGATAAAGAAGTCATAGCTAGTAAATCCCACAGTATCTAGATAAGTGTCTGGAAGGAAATTGGGAGTCCCTATTCCAGGCAGGTCCCAGAAGGTCACCTTGGGATATTTTGGATGTTGATAGGGGGTCTTCTCCATGGTGGTCTCTACAACTCCAGTGTTAGCTGCTCCCTCCTCTTCAGAACTAACCCCTCGCAGGGCATTGATGAAACTGGACTTGCCAGTCCCAGACTCCCCTATTACAGCCACCTCCAGAATACAATTTTCTGCTGCAGCAAGTGATTCTTGGATCTTGTCCACTGCATCATTTAGCTTCCCTTCCTGAAGGTCTTTTTGAATATTACTGAGGGTTTCTGGAGAGAGGATGCCTCCTACCTTACTAATTAATGTGGAGTAGTGAGGCATAAAGTCGTTAGCCAAATGCTGAAAATTCTTTATCGATGAATTCTTCAGGAAGGCTAAGATGAACTGATCCATGGTAGTTAACTGTGGAAGGTCTGGGGGAAAGGATACAGAAGGAAGAAGTAATAAGAATGGAGTACCCAAACAGAAACACAGGATTAGCTAAGAAACACAATAATCTCTTTGGGCCACTTTCATTGCTTCACACCAATTCATTTTATTATAACTAATTTAATTTGCCTGATGAACTTAATTTTCACTATATAGGAGAGTACCTATTCTCTATGCAATTGATTTCTATGTCCAAGGAGTCAGGACAGTGTGGTAGACTGAATAAGAGTACATAAAGATGTCTACCTCCTAAATTCCAGAACCTATGAGCATAATATGTTACAGAATAAAAGAAACTTTTTTGATGTAATTAAATTAAGCATCTTCAGTGGGGACAAATATTCTGTATTATCCAGGTGAACTCAATATCACAAAAGTCCTTAGATTAGTAAGGCAAGAAGAACAAAGAAATAAATGAGATGATGGAAGCAGAGGTTGAAGTAAAATTCCATAAAGATGAAGGAAGAGTGGATTCAAGGAATGCAGTTGACCCATAGATGCTTGAGAAGACAAGGAAATGGACTGTTTGCTAGAATCATTAGAAGGAACCTGCTGATACATTGATTTTAGCAACTTATTGTTAATTTAGGACCTCTAATCTCCAGAATTAGAAGAGAATAACCTTGTTTTTTTAAAAACTGATGCATAATTACTGTATATTCATGAAGTACAGTGTGATATTTCCATACATATATGCAACATGTATAATCAAATCAGGGTAATTAGCATATCCATCACCTTAAAATTATATCATTCAAAATTCTCTCTTCTAGCTATTTTCAAATATATAATAAATTATTAACTCTAGTCACTCTTCTGTGCTATCAACCATTAGAACTGAATTCTTCTGACTGAATTTTTGTAGGCATAACCCAGCTCTTCTCCATCCTCCTGCTGTAGTTTGGATCTTGAATGTCCCTCAAAGGCCCATGTGTTGAAGGCTTATCCCCAACCTGTGGAACTATTGGGAGGGGTTATAACCTATAACAAGTTATAACCTGTATTACTTCCTAGTATAAGAAAGTAGTATCACAGGGGGGCATGCCATCAAAGGAGATATTGGGATCCTGACCCCTCTTTTATTTCCCTTTGCTTCCTGGCCATCACCATCAGAAGTGAGCACATTGTGTACCACACACTTCTTGCCAGTATAGACTGTCATGCCACAGGCTCAAAGCCAAAGAGTCAAATGACCATGGACTGGAATCTGAAACCATGAGCCAAATAGAACTTTTCTCCTTATAAGTTAATTATCCTGGTATTTTGTCACAGAAATAGAAAGCTGACTGCTCTTCCCTCCTCTCTCCTATTCCTAGCTTCTGGTCACAATTATTCTATTTTCTGCTTCTATGAGATAAATGTTTTAAGTTTCTGGCTTATTTCATCTAACATAATGTGCACCAGTCTCATCCATGTTGCTGCAAATGACAAGATTTCATTCTTTTTTTATGGCTGTCTAATTCCATTGTATATATGCACATTTTCATTATCCATTCATTCTGGATACTGGCTCCATCTATTTCTTCTGTTCACTGCTGTATACTGTCTCTCAGGGCCTGAGCCAAAATTGTGTTGTTTTTTTTTAAATTTTTTATTGTAAAAATATGGAATGCTTCACGAATTTGTGTGTCATCCTTGCGCAGGGGCCATGCTAATCTTCTCTGTATCGTTCCAATTTTAGTATATGTGCTGCCGAAGCGAGCACAAAATTGTGTTATTTTAACCAACTAAGTTTGTGGTAATTTTTAATGACATCAAATTGGTTGATAATTTCTGCTTTTCCCTAAACCACAATGCATAGCACAGCAGATTTCTAGTTTGCAGAAAACTTACTCAGGCCTGCATTTTAGTGAGCAAAGAAGACTTCCAAACAGGCTTGATTTCCCAAGCCCTGCAGAAAATTGGGGCAGGTTTTATCATGAGGGCAAGGCAAATGGACAGACAAGACATCAAGTGTCCTGCACTCCAATGTTCCATAAAAGAGGTAAACACATAAGTCTGTATCCTGGTAGCTTAACTAATGTTGGTTTACCTCATTTAATGCATGAGTTTTGAGTGATTTAGAACACATGATGCTACATGGCCCAGGAAGTAAACAGAAGCTTGAATTTTCCCTATAAAATAAAGCACAACTTTGAAACATAGACATTTGGCCAAACAAAAACAACTACAGAAAATATTGCTGTTTGATTGGTTGGGCCATTTCTTAATTCATTGTAAAAATGAGGAGGCTTATATCAGGAAACTGAGAATTAAAAAATTATCTAACAGTGTTGGCTCAGGGATGCACAGAAGCATTTTCCTGTGGAGTGTGCTGAGGGTTCCCCATATTCCACAGGTCCTTCAAGGAGATTTTTAAAGAAGAAAAAAAATCAACTCTCAAAATAAAGTGAACATGTGTTAAGGATTTTATTGGTAATTATTTATGAAGTAATGAGGCAGGTATCATAATTAGTAGAGTTCTTTGAGAATCTTAACAGACATATTTATCTTCAAGTATATTTGCAAGAATGTGAAAATAGGCAAAAGTACTATCTACTATGGGGCAGGATCATCTGATCCTCAACAGACAGATTTTATTTATGTGCCAATGGAGAAATATTGTTAAAATTGCTACTAATTATGAAAAACTCAGAATTGAAAAATAGTTTTATGGCAATGAAATGCTTCAGAAAACCCAGATATTTTGCAGTGAATGCTGTAGTTTCCTATGGGAGACATATAGGAAATGTTCTGCTTAGTCCAAATTTTCTCATATTTTCAACAATAAAGCCATCCTTCAGACACATGTTCTTTGTCATGTAAAGATGATTACCTGGCTTTCTGCCTCTACCAGAAAGACCTGCCCTCAGCCCTCCAAGAACAAAACCAGACCCCAGCCACTGAAAATCCAAAAGGGTTTCTTACTCACCAAAGAGATTTCTGGCATCAAATAAATCCACAGGAACAGCAGAAAATGCTGAGACTGTGAAGCCCACAGCACGGCAACTAATACGAGCACAGAGCTGTCCTCTCCCAGAACACACACTGTGTTCTGGAGTCAGCACAGAAAGCAAGAGGTGAGGCAAGTCTCTGTTCTATCTAGCATAATGAGCCCAGTGTGGAAGCAGAAGGAAAGAACCATAGCAGCATGTGGCTCCTGCACTTCTGGTCAGGAGGGAACTGGCTGATTTAGAAAATGAATTTCTAAAACTTGAAACTGAAACCAGTTCAACTTTACATGCTTTCTTGCCAGCCTAAGCACTTCCAGGAAAAGAAAACATTTTGGGACTTCAGGGTGGTCAGTGGATAAGAGGAGGACTGAGAGAGAGATTTGGGTCTGGGAGAGGTAGATTCCTCATGACTTCTGGGAGGTCACTGAGAATTGGACTCACCAGGTGAAGGAAAGCACTGGGAACAGGGAGGATACCTGTGAGCAAGTTCCCAAAATTTCCAGGGAGAGAGGCAGAAGTATTTTCCAGCAGAAAAGAGAACTCTAACATTGTGTTTTTCTGCTTGTGCTTTTTTCATCTAGAAGTGCTGATAGTTGACTGGCCATATTACCAACACCTGGGTATGAGAGGCCATGGCACCTCAACTGTGAAGGTCAGATATTTGGTTACACGTGAATGATTCAAACTACTCAGAGAGGTTCTGGAAAAATGTAGTGAGATAGCACAAGGGAGAAGGAGACAGAGAGAGAGAGAGAGAGAGAGAGAGAGAGAGAGAGAGAGAGAGAGAACAGAGAAGGAACCTGAGCCAAAGCCTGTTTGGCAGATGCTGCTTTGTGAATTGCAGTTACATCAGACAAGTTTGCAGCTGTGGATTGTTAGATGTAGGCTTAGGAAACACTTAGGAGCTACAGGTCTCTGTTCCCCTTCTCTCAGAGGAACTGCAAACCCAAGAGACAGCCCTAGGCAGAAGTACCAAACAAACCAGCTGTCAAGGGCTTACTTAGTGAGCAGTCTTCAAAGTTCAAAGAAGGTCCACTCCTTCTCCAGGTCAGCAGCATTGGTTTTTCACCCATTCTACATTCAACAAAGCAGAAGGAACAACCCTAATCATTTTACAGCTAAGCAAGGACATATTTTTTCTAATGGTAAATGGAAATATAATTACCATCAGGCAGAGGTTACTGAGTAACCACTGAGGTTTCCCTGAGCCTTCCCTGCAGTCTGTGCTCTAGGTGAAGCATGGGCCTTGCATCTAACCTGAGGGGTCAGGGAGCCAACTTCTTGCTTCAGGAAGGGAAGTGAGGCCCCACAGTATGCCTTAGGCACCATGTCCTCAGTGTGTATGGTTATCAGGGGTGAATTATGCCATGAGTAGATGAATGTATTTGAGATCTAGGGTCCACACTATGGCCATTGGCTCTGGAAAAAAGAAGAGAAAATTGTTTTCTCTACATCCTAGGTGGGGAGACAGGAATTTTCCATGTGAAATATATATGCAGTGGCAGAATGAGTTCTGTTAGAAAATCTAAATATGATTTTTGAAAATTATATTTTCAAAATCTTCTACTTGCTATTCCTTCATAGAAAAGTGAAAATACTAGCTTCTTATTGGCAGAACAGAGCACTTACCTATGTAGATATAGTAAATGACTTGAATTGTGGTGTGATGACACCCATCCCCAATGGAGTCAGACTTTCACACATAAACACATCAAATGGTGCTTCTTGCCTGAAATACTGTTTTTTTTTCTTTTTTTTTACATCTATCTGTGGAAATTTAAACATAACATACCATAAAGAGCTGATATCACAATTGAGTGTTTGCAAGACACTTGAGAGAAGGAGATTAGAATAATATACTTGGAGTGGAGGCCAGAGGGCCAAGGAGAGTGGATTAAAGTGAGATCATGAAGAACATCATGAACATACATTATTTTATTTAATATCTACCCTGCTCTCCAGGAACAACTAAATATATTTAGGAGCCTCACCTATGAACTTATACTCAAGAACACAATGTGGAACTCACATAAACAACTGAAGAGAGAGATCCTACCCTACTAATGACCCCATTGCCCATTTTCAGATAGTTCCCAACTGAGACCCAGCCCCTGGCTCCTTCTCCTCTGGTCTAGAGTGGCCACTGCTCTCAGGGTACTGGAGCTTGATGCTCACAATGTGCAACCATGCCATAGTCAGACCTGTTGCTTCTATACCCTTCTGATAAAAAATAACCCTTTTCACAACATATGGGTGAGAATAGATGTGGGACAGACACTCATAGAGCATCTACCAAGCAGAATTCTTTATTGGACACCAGACAGCTGCTGCCTCTGGATATGAAGATCTTATTAGACCTGAGTAGAGGTGACTTCTTTCCAAGCACAGAGGGAGGAATTTAGGTTAGAATCTGAACAGAGTTCACAAGAGGGATGCAAAGTTTCCCACTGTATTTTAGAGCACACATTGTGAATCTTTTTCTAAGGTTAGGTTCTTCTCTTGAGGTCACTCTTTCTTAACTAGTTCTGGAAATGGTTTGGAACTGGGCCCAGTGAAACTCACAAGATCCAAGAAGGCTCTAGGTAAACAGCTTCCTTTCTTCTTCACATTCTGGAGGACTTCTTACCCATGTGATGTGAGCAGGGTAATCTCTTGACTTCTTATGACCTGGCAGGACTGAAAGGCCCATCTATAAGCCCAGGTCCAGGGATTATCAGATGATGGCTGAGGATCTGGATCAGCAAAGTCAAGAATAGGAGTGAGGAGAATAGGGACAAGCACAAAACCAGGTTGTCCTGTGACCTTAGGCTGAAGTGGCCAGCTGGGTTCAAGCAGGATTTACCTAGAAAACTCTCTTGCAGGTAGAAATAACTATACAAGCATTAGCTGAAGATGAATGATGTGTGTTCCTTTCTTTATCCTACAAATGTCTTGCCACGCTCTTCATCTGGCACTGGGCACTGTCATGTGATAATTAATAGAAGGTCTTTGGCATTATACTATCCTTAGGGCTTTGATATGACTTGCTATAAGTACTCCTGAAGGGCAATATGATTTCTGAATTATACTCAGATTAAGCAGACATTTCCTGGGAGGATGCTTCAGAAAGCAGATGTGTCTCTGACCTCATCCTAATCCACTGACCATGTCTCTTCTAGCTGCCCTGAACAATTCTGATCACCTGCAACTTAGACAAATGGAACTTTATTACTTTTAACCAAAAACTACTTCATTCTGACTAAATTATTCTGAGACCATTTCCCCTTTCAATATGACATGTACAAAAGGGGAATGGTATTCATGGAGATTAGTGTGATCTCTAAAATTACACAGATGCTTTTTTGAGGGAATGGAGGGCTCAGAAGGAGAATGAATTTGTGGTCTCTAAACCAATCCACAGTATCTCTTCTAATGCCCTGAACCATCCTGGTCACCAGTCTAAATGCATATTTATTATTTTTTAACCAAAAGACTGCTTCATTTTGACTAAATTACTCCATGAATCATTCAGAGGAAGGACCAGATCCTTCAAGATGAGATCAGAATGCTAGGATGGCCTCACCTGTTTTTGCAGCACAGATTTCTGTAGTCATTATCCAATCTCAGGACACAACCAGGAGGGTAAGTAGATGCTGGACAGGTGAATCCTTCCTGGACCCTGACTGTGGTCTCCTTTGTTACTTTGTGGTGTTTAAAATATAAAATCTAGATGCTGACGAATTGGAATGTGCTGGTTAGTTTGAAGTTAATTGGAGCCCCAATTCTTGACTCTGTGGTAATAATAATAAATTACCTCTGTACCTGCTTTTGGGATAGGGAGGGCAGACAGGACAGTAGCCACCTTTATCCCTGAGATAGTGGGAGACCAGGCAAGGCCTTTGCCTCAGGGCCTCCAGAGGGAGAAATGAGTTGTGAGTAAGGTGTGTACATATAAGAACAATATCTGTGAGAAATCAATCTTCTGGATTCAGAGCTAAAACACTTCCATTGTATTTGACAGACAGACCAGGCCCTTTCCTTAGTTACAAAGAAAATGGTGGATGAATTATCATCCTGGGGCCAACAGAAGGTAAAATCCTCTGTATCTGCATGCATGTATGCATGTAAGTGTGTTGTACACCGGTATGTGTCTGCATGTGAGGTGTGTGTTCATGTATGGCAGATGATTAAGACCATTATGGTTGGCTATACATAGGCCTCTACATCTAATGCCAAGGGAAGATGTATATGAATCCTCTAATTTTCTGGGACAGTAAAATGCTTCAATAAATAATTAGTGATCACAACTGTGCCTGAAGATAATTGTTGAACATGCAAGGAAAAGACTCATAAAGACACAATCACATATCACAGGATGCTGCAATACGAGGGAAGGTAAAATGAGCAACAGTCATGATGTGCATTCTCCAGTAATTTAATTTTTTTCTTCTTCCTATAATGTGATGAGTGCTAAATAGAGAAAAACCTTAAGATTGAAGCAGGTTCTGGTATGATTTTAGCCCTCTGTGACTGCACCTAGCAGGGAAATGTAGCAAAGACAGTGGTCATTCTCTGACAGTGATTATTGGTTATTTCCATCAGTCCAGCAATGTGCAGAAAATAAACCACAAGAAATGCCAGGGGAAATTGAAGGCCACTTGTTTTCGATGTATTTTTTATTGGTGTATTATAATTAGACATAATAATGAGATTCATTGTGATATAGTCATAACTGCACAAAACATAACTTGATCAATTTCATTTCTCAGAATTTTCTTTTTCCCTCCAATCCTAACTACCTTTCTTAGCCATTCTCTGCTCTATTGGTCTCATTTGTATTTTTTAGATTCATGCATTATATTATACATAAAAATGGGATTCATTTGTGACATAGTCATACTTGCAGATAGTATAATTTGGTCAGCTTGAGTCCCCAGTTCTTCTCACTTCCCTCTCTTCCTCTCTCCCTCTTAGTTCCCAGCCTCTACCCTATTGACCCCCCTTCTATTTTTGAGAGACCTCCTCCTGATGTTCTCCAGTTCTATCCATTTACCAGTTCTCCAGTTCTATCCATTTACCAGCAAATGCCATAATTTTATTCTTATTATAGCTGAATAAAACTCCATTGTGTAAATATAGCATATTGATGGTCACTTAGGATGGATTCATAACTTGGCTATTTTGAATTGTACTGTCATAAATATTGGTATGCATGTATTGCTATAGTATGCTAATTTTGATTCTTTCATTTTTAACAAGGA